GCTTCTTGACAGAAGCTGGGGATGTTTATCTACTGGAGTTAGATGCCTGTAACTGCAGCTGTCAATTACTGTATCATGGGCGTGTATCAAAACACACCTCCAGTGCTCTGCTTGGCATGCCTTTTACGAGCTGCCAGCTTTCCAGACAAATGTAGAAGTCCAGAGAGTACTGTAGCAGAGAAATCACAGTGGAATGCTACAACGAAAGAGTTAAGATCAGAAACCTTGCAAAGTATAAAACTTCAGTGAAACTAACTGATCTTCTGTGGAAGTACTAGTCTTCTCTCAAACTTGTTAAATATATCCAGACAATGAGACAGCTTGCTTGCCAGGTGAAATTGCTTTTCTTTTTTCTTTCTTTTTTTTTTTTTAATCTTGTGGAATAGTAGAGATAAATCCATGCCTAGATCACCACACTAATTGCTGAAGAGAATGATACAAGCTCATATAAGTGAAATATTTGGTGCTGAGACAGTATTATAAGGTTTTTCAGAGGCCTTAGCTAAAAGGAACTTGAAATAGATAATAAATTGGAGTCCCTTGCAGGTTTGCCTCTCTCTGAAGTTCAGTGGATGGTGGTTTGCATGTCTGACATCAAGAAGTACCTCTGAGTTGTGTCTGTCAGGTTTACTAGGGTGCTCTGACATTTCAGACCCCTGTCAATCCATGCACTTGGTCCTTCACAATGAATACAGGCAAGTGGGACATCTCTTTTTCACATGCTACAAGGATGAAAAGTATGTGAAAAAGATGCTTATGCATCTTGCTGCGAGCTGGTGCAGGCAAGCAGTTTCTGGGATGGTAAGACAGCTCATCTGTAAAGCGTTTCTGCTTCAGTTCCACAGCTGCAAAACCAGCAAGCACTAGAGCCATATGAGTCCAGAGAGGAGACTTTTGCTAAAGGCTGGCCAGGAAGCCAAGCCACAGGCAGAGACACTGGTACATAAAATGCATTCCAGTGGCTGGCATCTGGGCCCTGCAGCTGCCAAGCACACCCAGTGTGTGGCCATGGGTGTTGGCTTCAATACTAGAACATTTTGAGGAGGAGGCCAACAACCAGTAACCAGAGAAGACAGTGCCAAGTTACTACAGAAATTACATTCATGTGCCAATTCGCTTGCTATTTCAAAAGACAAAATTTTATCTCATAAGCATTGTTCTGAACATACCCACATGACAGTTAACAGAAATATGCTGATATTTGCTAGTGGGGGAAGGGGTAAAATACTTAAAATAAGTGAAAAGATGCTCCTTGGGGCACTGGTTAACAAAACAAAACCATACCCATTATACTATTCCTTAATTAATGCATGAGTTTCCTTAGATACCACAGCTCTGTTGGGGGACACAAGTCTGGTGTACTTCTTTTCAAGAGAGTGTGGGGAGAACTATATACAACAAAGATAGAGGTGAAATGAAAGATACACAACAAGGCTGAGCCAGTTTCAGCTCCAAAGACAGGCTTTGTCCACTATTAATTTGTGAGCAGAGCATCATGTGAAAACAGAAAGGTTGCATTAAACCTTTAGGACACAATAGAATTGAACACATGGCTTAGAGAATAGTATATCTAATAGGATGCATCTTACCCAGCTGCAAACTGTATCAAGCTGTATATCTGGAGCTCTTTTTGCTGGAGATTATGTCACAACGGATAATTGCATTTAATAATGTGTTCAGATATACGGTGGTGTCAATGTATAAGCAGAATCTTTGCCTCCCTCCTGGGAGAGTTACCTTTAAAAAATAAAAGCCCTTAGGTACTCAAAATACTTGAGCTGTGGCAGCAGAAACTTCATATAGGCTCATTTAGCAATCACATCCCATGTTAATTAGCCAAAGGGATTATTGTTTTAAACACAGCGTTCATTTTCCTTTGAATGAGGCATGAGCACATTGCTCCTGCATGATTTTGCAGTCCCTGTCTCCCCAAGCCTGAAAGTAATGCTGGGCTGCAGTGCTTCTCCAAAGGAGAGCTCTCTGAAAATGTGAGGGTAAGATCCCGTCTCAATGCCTCTCACAGACCTCCCACCAAATCTTCTCACTTCGCAGCATCTGCAAATTCAGTTAAGAATCTGAATGTCAATCAATGGTTTTCTCTGGCTCAGTAATCATTCACAATAATGATTTTGTTATTGAAACTTCAGCACCAGTGCTGTTGAAGATTTACAGGCCAGAATGGAATCCAGCTCTCTGGCCTTTAATTATCCTAGCTCTATAGTGCTAAAAAACCTAGAAAAAAAATATCAAAACCCACTGAATTAGGAAGATATAACTTTACAAGCTCTTGGGACATATTAATTGAGAAAGACAACATGGCAAATTGAAATAAAAAATTCTAAGTTTCTATCATATATGGACTTGAATAAATAAAAACAAAAGAAGAAACCCCAAATTGCACCAGAAACCTGTCAACAATCTACTCTAACAATTTTCATCTGAGATCTTGGCTTTTAAATGCCTATCTTATTCAGACTATAAATTAGTGGTGAACCCTTCAGCAGTTAAAATGGCAAGATGCAATAGTCATCCTAGTTAACAGGAATGTTTTCTTAACCCAGTTAAAGACTACAAAGTGAGAAACAAGCACCTTAAATCTTAGTTTAACTCAATAATTATTTTGCCTCTGAACACAGCTGCTGCATATTAAGTGCTTGATTTTAATCCCTTTGTTATAACTGAGAATTTACTCTCCAAATTACCATGTTCATGTCAATATAAAAAATATTTTATGTGTATCACAGGAAAGCCTGTGAATTCAAATGGTAATGAGATCTTTTCTTTTCTGTTTCTGTGTTACTGGACTAGATTGTGCTGTACTGGGGCTTCTTAACAGTTTGATGTCTGTGGAACAGATGGCTGAACAGAATGAGTTACTGATGCAGATGCAAAGTTGACACAGAACCATCTCCAGGCAGTGATAATAGAGATGGATGGCTCTGGGAGGGAAAGTTCACACACCGGTGTGTCTTATCAGCACACTGTAGACCCTAAAGTCCTTGGCATTTTAGCTCATTCTCAAGAAAGATTATTTCTTTTTGCATTTATGCTCATTTTGTTTCTTTTGGTACTTGCCTGTTAATGACAATTGCAGGCTGAAGAAATTTTACCATAAAGATTATTTTCATTTTCCTGTTCTGTAGAAACCCTACTTGCAAGACTTCTTACAAACAGTTTAATGAGGCAATTTTGTTTCTCCTTTTAACAAGACTCTGATTCCTGCTCTCTCTCTCTGCTTTTCACTTGGCTTTTTTGGGGAGAGCAAGTCCATATACCAATATGTAACTCCTAAATGATCCCTGTGGCCATGCTGATCATCCATTATCTTGAAATCTCCTATTCACTGATGCTAATAGGAGTTTTACTAAGGACTTCAGCTGTTGTTTCATATGTTCCTCTGCTGTGCAGTCCACTGATCGGTCTATCATGAGGTGGTAACTCATGCAAGACTGCATCATAGTATTGAGCATGTCTGAGGTATATTTTCTAACTCTTCCTACGTTCTATTTTATTGGAGCATATGCATCCCATCATACGCATAAACTGGATCCATCTTGACTGCTTCAAATAAAACAGTTTGTGCTCTTTTCTCATTGCTGAGTTACAACATTTAAATACAGGAATTATCGCTGGGAAGCTAGCACGAGGACAGGTCTCATTTCTTCCCTTCTTTCTCACTTTTTCTCAATATTCTCATTAATTCATAACTGTATTCACCGGTATTGCAACTTTCTCCTCCAGTCTCCCACCTGCGATGAAGCACCTCCTATGAGTAGGAAAGTATGTGTTTTTCATTCTGAACTTTTAAGGAACATCCAGGAACAAGCAAGTGCCTACGAAGAGGAAGTCAAAAGTTGTCTTGTGACAAGCTACATAAACTGGAGTTTTGTGGTTAAAATAGGCAAAGGGAAACCAGAAAAAGCTTTCCGCAGCAAAGCGTCCTCAAGTTAAAGCAATGCAGAATTGTCACAGCCAACACTCCTCTTACTGGAGGGTGGGTTGTGCTTCTAGCTGTGATCAACTCAAAGTGAGAAACTCCCTGTGCTGGCTTTCCTTGGTCAATTTGGGCAAGGGTTAAGCCCCTCCAGCTGAGCCCAGACAGCCACTCTCCTCCTGTCTTTTTCTCTCAAGATGCCTTAGCATTAAGTAAACCACAAGAAGGGTCACCTCTACATGAGGAAGAATTTCTTTTTGTTGAGGGTGGCAGAGCACTGAAACAGACTGCCCAGGGAGGTCATGGAGTCAATACCCTCTATGGAGATACCCAAAGCCCGCCTGGGTATGTTCCTGTATAAACTGCTCTACGTAGCCCTGCATTGGCAGGGGGGTTGGACTAGGTGATCTCCAGAGATCCCTTCCAAACCCAACTATTCTGCGATTCTGTGAACTCCTGCCGCCTGGATCAAGCCCTGTGGTTCGACAAAGTCCAGGTCACTCACTGCAGCTCCATCAGTCTCTGGTCCAGCATCCACCATAATGTATGGAAGCAGCGGAGAGGAACTGCTACTGCGCTGACACAGGTGACACTGTCAGGCAGGCCCACTCTCAGCCCCCTCACCATGACACTGCCCGTGGTTACCCTCGTGTGGGTTCACGATGGTGTGGGGAAGACCCTGTCCCACTCGAGGTGGATTTTGCTCATGATTATTCTTGTGCAGCTTTCTGAGGCAACTTCCCCGCAGCTGTGGGACCTCCTCGCCACGCCTGGATGTCGTTTTCCCTCTCATGCAGGACGAGTCCCTTCTTGCTAAGGCGACCGAAGCGCTGCCGACAGCAGGGGAGCGGCGCAGGGCGCCGGACTGCGGCGGTTCCACACGCGGCCCACGCACAGCGCCGCCGGGCACCGAGCGAGGGCGCAGGACCACGGGCGCGGAGCAAGAGCTCCGCCTGCTGGCCGCCGCGGGAAGCCTGAGGAATGGCGGGCAGCAGCTCACCCGGCGCTCCCGCCCTCCTGCCATTTTGTGTGTGGAGCTGGCGCAGGGGGGGAGTCCTCGTTTCTTTCCGCTTGTTCTCTACTTGGCTAAGAATTAAACACCGGTTGTCCTTTTAGTTATTTATTTATTGGTTGATGGACTGTGGTAATACGAGTCGTTGCACGTACCAAAAGCCCCGGGTTTCATCTCATCCAGCATTCATACAGGTGAAGTGTGTGGCGGCTGCTGGACGGGATCACCCTCCTCCTCAGGGCTTTCCTCCCGCAGCCTTCCCTGGGCCGGGGGCTGCGTTAGGTCTGGCCAGCACTGGGTTCTTTTCGGGCTTTCTCTGTTTCTGCATTTCTATGTGAATCCTCTCTGTTGATCCTGCCACACAGGGACAACTGCATCGTCACCTGCCTTGTGGTCCCTCACATAGGTAAACCCACCTCTCTTTTGTGAAAAAATTCCTCATGCCTTATTTCCCCATTCCACAGATATTTTAGTTTGTTTCAGCCCTGAGTGTTTTAGGTCTCATACACAATGGTGTGAGGAAAAAAAAACCAAGAACCCAGAAATAAATGGAAGTGTATTTGTTCTGTGGAAAGCCTCAGGCCGTGTTGTTTTGATTTGAAATTAAATTGTGAAGCATGAGTAATAGAGATACCGGTCCTTCCACCAGACCACCAGACAGAGGCGGGAGGAGGACCATGCAGCAGAAGTGTGAAATGTTAACGTACAAAGATTAAATTACTCTTACATGTTAACTCTGAGTGCATGTGAGTGTGTTCTGTTTTACAGATGGAAATACTGACATAAAATTACTCACCTGATGTCACATGGAGACTAAATGATATACCTGAGGTTTCAGTTCAGGCGTTACCAGATAATGTGTGGTACATGTGGCTGCCCACCTCAAATTTATGAAAACAGAGGGTTTCCTATTGAATATATGTTCGTTATAGAGAAATATCAATTAAAATAATAATATATTTTTACTCATATCTTTCAGAGATATGCACCAATCTCAAAGTGGATAGCTGAAGTTAGGTGCTGACAAGACCATCACAATGGCCTTTAAGGAGGAAAGACATGCTTGTGCTATATACTTTGACATTGAATTAGATTGTGTAGGGTGAGAAGAGGAAGTCCTTTTGATAGACACATTCTTTGCATAGGCAAAGGAGGGGAGTGTGCCAATAAAGCTCCCTAATCTTTGTCTTTGGATATCTAGGGATGGGACTATGGCATCAGCAGGACTTGGCAGAATTGCAGAGAAGAGAACCACCAAAATAGTTTTCAGCTTTGCCTCTAAGGGGTGATTGGAATCTCCTTTGATGTTGAGCATCTAGGAGATGTCCTCTGTGGATGCTTTTCTGGTCTGTCTCAGTACATTACTTTTATTGATATCACCTTCCCTCCTCATCCCTCTCCCTGGTATAGTTTGAATCTTCCCTATGGTATGTTTTTACCCTCACATCTACCTTTTTTCTTCAAAGTAAATCCTTTTTAAATACCACGCCAAAGAATTCCTGGTAGAGTTGTTTAACAAGGGCGACACATACTTATCTCTTGACCTCACACTTGGAAGCTACTGAGCACTTTGGCTTTGATCATCAGAAAATATGTCTGAGGCAGATATTTGGCATTGGAGACCTTAGTTTTCAAAATATGAGGCATAAAATATCATGGAAAATAGGAAACACTTGTAAAAAGTAATTCCGCCAGCTTTTGTGTGTGATATGTATCATCAAATGCAGTTCCACATTTAACTACTTAACATTTAACTACTGAGTGGGGTATTGAGAAACCAAGAAGAGAAACAATTAAGTAAAACACTTAAGAAAATGCCTTCTTTCCCTTCCAACTTCACTCCAACACCTTTCCTTCCTGCTTCCTAGCCTCAATTGCACTTCTTTTCACCTCTGCTCAGACCTTTCCAATCCCCCTGCTGAGGTGACAGGCCTGCAGTGGAGAAGGTTGCTCTCCATGTGTAGTGGTTTACTTCTGCTGCTCCTTGCTTCTGATTATTCCTCTTCTCTGTTGTTCCATCCTTACTGTTTTCTCTGGCCCAGCGTGGGCCACTATGGCTGCAGTCCCTCAAGGGTGTCCCTGCCCTGGCACAGATCATCCATGCACTGCAAACCTCTGGTGGAGGTTTGGTGGGCAATAGGATGCTCACACTGGTGCTGGAGCTGGCAGGAGCTGGCTGTGACTGGACCAGGATGGTTCATAGCCTCCTGCCACAGGGCACCCCACAGCAACCCGCCACCACACCTTACCAGATGTGCCCAAAGCCCCACTTTATACAGGTCAGCTGAGTCTGAGCACGTAAAAATACTTGCAGATCTTAGGAGATGTGTCTGACTTAGACAAAACCTGAAGTCTTCAACTGCCATGAAGACACAGCAAATTATTTGCGGTAAATATTTATTTGGAAGGCTAAATACTTTAGTAATCAGTAAATTATATGGTGATATCATGAGGACTAACTAGGACAAATAATGAATTATCATGAAAAGTGACCCTAGAGCATCCTACCTGTAATAAAAGTATGCTGCTAGAAACAAAGTGGATACACATTAAAATGCAGTGTACATTCTCACCAAGAGAAATATATTTTGGCTAGAGTTAAAAAAGCAGTCTGGATTGTATAATAAAGCTCCTTATCCATCTTTACAACTAAAAGAAGAGCTGTACTAGAGCAGAATGGTCCGCCGCTTTCCTCTTTTTCTTTTGTTGATTAGTTTTTACTAATCTGTTGAGATGTCACTTATTTTTGCCTCCTTGCCAAACAGAAAGAGCGAAGAGTACTTGTAAGGTGATGAAAAAGCTGTCCTGCAGACCTCTTTCAGGCACTTAATTGCATTGAATCTTGGTAATTAAAATCACAATGACCAAGCTTTTAAGTGGTCAGTTACCTTATGAAAGATAACAGCAAAGAACAAGGCAAGTCAGGAGCAGTGAGAGCCATTTCATTATTACCTGTTAGACCGTTTGCATGCTTTGACTGACATTTCAGAGCACAAGAAGAATATGCATACAATTTCAGCTGTTGTTTGCATAGATTTTGGTAACCTGCAAATGCATGTGTTCATACAAGTATGTGGTTTTACAGCACTTCCCACTCTTTGGTCTGCCCTGGGCTAGAAAGGATCTGAAGCAACCTCACAGAAAGCTGAGCAGATCTGATCTCTCTGTAGAGTAAGCTGACATAGTGCTTCAGAGTGCTTCAGTTCCTTGGACCAGCTCACACCACACAGTCATACAGTGCAAGAGAAGAGGCCAGAAATGGGGGAAGGATGATACTGCTTCAAACCCCAATGAGATCACAAGCTGCCAGGAAATGTCAGGTTAAGAGACATCAAATGGAATGAAATCTTCTAACTGTCCTAGCCTGCTGTTTAGAATAGTGATCTGGAATAACTGGAATGTTTTGTACTTTAGATACAACTTACAGATGGGACTAAGCATGACAGGCTTAAAAGGCATGGGAAGTGCTTGAAAGCCAGGTTTTGAATTGAATATGATTTGATAAATATGTAAAATAAGCAAGGTGAATTTAAAGAGGAAAGTGTAGCTGTAAGGAAAACACATGAATGACATCCAACACAATTCTGGTTTTCTCCCAGGTAACCTTTGTTTTGAATTAGCAAAACAACTTTTTCCATTTACTATTAAGATGGAAAAAAGTTATATAGAGGTTACTTTTTAGAACTACAGGAAATATAAAAGATGTACCTTGATGAAAATCTCAGTGTTGACATTAGACAGTACATTTCTAACTGAGAATACATGTTCATTTTTCGTTGGGGTATGCTATGTTATAGAGGTGCTCTAGTTCAGAAGACCTGCCCTAACATTTCTAAATTAAATTTTATCTCAATTATGAGATCCACAGTGACCAGCAGCTTTGTACTTTGCCCTGGAATGCAGCACATAGCCTGAAGAGATACATACATATTATCTTTTTAGGTGGAGCAGGATTTCCAACACACTGGTATTTGCATTGCATGTTTAACTGAACTGTGATGCAAATTTATACTTGAATGGATTATTTAGATGTCAAATCTTTTATTTGTCTTCTATGCTCCTTGTTCATTGCTTATCTACCACAGATTCTAATCAGGATGTTCCTTTGGAATTTTTTTCCTTATTATTTTAACAACACATCACAACTGCAATTTTCCATCCCAAGCCTGCATCAGTTTCATTGCTTACAATGTGAGCCCATTGTGAGCCTGTGAAGTGTTTGGAAACTTGCTGTAGCTCTCTTACTCTCTGGAAAAGCCTTACAGCCTCCACAGCAAGGCAACGAGGGAGCAGGGCTTTTCCTCTGTAGAAGCTGGGCTCATTTTTATACACTCAGGAGTCTTTATGAAGAACTACCTGTTGAGCAAAATTTCTGTATCGGCTGACATGGACTGTTAAATTGTCAGCCAGTGATAAAGATTAGATCCTGCACTTTGATGTTTTCAAGGGGTGCTTATGAAGAACATCTGCAGTTTTTCATGTGTGAGTAGAGAATAGAGTCAAAAATACAGCATGAATGACTTTTCAAGGACATTCTAATACAATGGCATAAAAAAAAAAAAAAAAAGTCTTTGCTTGGCTGCAAAAATATTCCTAATACAACCATTTAGTTACCTAAAAAGTAACTGTTGTAAATCAGGAAGCCTCTTACAGCAAAAATGATTGAGGAATCAATCCCCCTTCAAATGTACAAGTCAGCTGGGACATGTTCAATTTGCATGTCTGTCAGAAAAAGTTGGTGTTTGCTGCTATAAGCTCCTTTCCCTCCTCCTTGTTCCAAGCATAGTTACCCAGAACCTCCTGCCATCTCCTGTGAGAAGCTGTTGCCCTCTAGCTCCAAGAAAGATGTATGATACAGATGCATTGATAGGAGGGTGGTGACAGATTTCCAAAGGAATTGTGCTAACACTGAAGAAAGTCCATACAGAATATGTGACTGTATTTATCTAAGGCAAAAAGAAATGAAAAAATAATTAAGCTACTTCAACAAACAGGAAAGCTTTTTAACCTATGATTATAAAATAGTGAGCTCTTTCTTTTTCAAGGTTCATCTTTCTACAGATAAAACATGGAGGTACATGTGCAGTGCTGTGCTTGTATTTTGCCTTCATATCTAGCTTGTCTGGCCATTCATGTTTCAAGGTGTAATGGAAGCATACATTCATTCTTTTTACATTAACATGAACTCATTGTGCTACAACTGCTAGTGTTGCTCTTGCTGAGACTGCCTACTAAACATCTCCCTCCCTGTGCTCACAGAATCACAGCATGGCTGCGGCTGGAAAGCACCTCTGGAGATCATCTAGTCCAACTCCTGCTCAAAGCAGGGTGTTAGGAAAATCTCATTCCCTAACTATTATACCAGTTAATCTTTATAGTATAAAATGGTATCAATTTGCTTTTAGAAATACATGTAGTTTACATTGTATACTGAATATCCAGGCTTAAGAAAACTAAAGGACCCAGCTAAGGAGGACAAAGACAGCCTAGCCCCTGAGATAAGGACCTTACTTCTTGGAATCTTAAAAGCTGTCTGTGAAGGATAAAATATAGTCCTGGACAACCAAGATAACACTAGCATCCTAGCTCCTATAACCTGTCTTTGGAACCCTGACATTGTCTGTCATCATAGATAAGTAACTATAGCAAGACCAACTCCAGGACTGTCTGAACAACAGAAAAGCAGGTGACTCATGACACCATAGAAATACAGTTGCTTTGCAAAATTTTATTATGATTAGTAAACTGTAGTGTGTGTTTGTTAAGTAACAATTAATCAAATCATGTTGCACCTGGACACTTGAAATGCTTGTAGAACTACATTAAGGCTGCCCCAATTTGAATGGGACACCCTGGGAGCATGGATAAAAAAATTACTCTGTAATTCTGTGCTTTGCATCCTAGCCTCAATCCTTACTCAGTATAGATCAGTTGTGAATTTTCCTAACAAGGATCAGCTATAGCAGGTTGCCTATGACTATGTCCAGTTACAAAATCTCCAAGGACAGAGACTCCACAGCTTCTCTGGGCAGCCAGTTTCAGTGTATAACCACCTTGAAAATAAAAAGATTTTTCTTATATTCATACAGAATGTATTGTTTCAGTTTGTGCCCATTGCCTCTTGTCCTGTCACTGGGCACTACTGAAAAGAACCTGGGTCCAACTTCTTGGAACCCCCCTCTCAGATGTTCATAAACATTGATAAGATCCAACTGAATCTTCTCTTCTTCAAGCTGAACAGTCCCAGCTTTCTCAACTCACCATTGTATGTCAGATGATTCTTCATCATCGTTGTGGGTCTTTGCTGGATTTGCTCCAGTGTGTCAATGTCTTGTACTGAGGAGCCCAGAAAAGGACCCAGCACTCCAGGTGTATCTCACCAATGCTGAGTAGAGGGGAAGGGGTCACCGGCTGGAACACTTGCTAATGCTATTCAGCATACCATTGCCCTTCTTGATCTTGTAGTCTTAATAGGATTGTGGAATAAGATTGTAGTCTGTTGCCCTTTAAGGAGGGTTAATGTTTCAAAGCCATAATGAAGCCTAAGATAAAGCATTCTCATATGAACAGTAGTGAATGCCTAGTGACATTCCTCAGTGTTCTTATGGATTGCCTTTAAGCTACACAGTAAGAAAAGACCAAATACTACACACCACC